TGAGGGTTGCGATCCGTTGCCGGACACGAAAAAAGACAAAAAAGGAAAAAAAAAAAAAGAGTGCCATTTTAATATGAGTGCCTGTCTGCACTGATATGACACAATCCTCAAGACTTCCTGCTAACTGAAAGGAGGAAGTTGCAGAACATTCCATGCATGTAGTATGCCACCATTTGTGTTAAAGAATAAAAACAATGTGGCATGCAACCATTTATGTAAAGGACTATGCACATACATATATATTTGCAGATACAGATACAGACTATTACTTGCTCTATAGCCTTTATAAAATTTTTTAGCATGTCATGTAACACTTTTCAAAATTCTCCTTAATTGCAAAATTCAAACACTGATGGGGCTGGCCTGTGGCTCACTCGGGAGAGTGTGGTGCTGATAACACCAAGACCATGGGTTCGGATCCCATAGAGCGATGGCCGGTTAGCTCACTGGTGAGCGTGGTGCTGACAACACCAAGTCAAGGGTTAAGATCCCCTTACCGATCATCTTCTAAAAAAAAACCAAAACACTGAGATTGAACTTAGTAAAGGCAACTTACAAGTAAAGCTGAGTGGACAACAGGGGGATTCGGATGGTCCATAAATAAAATAAGGCCAGGCAGACATCCCTGATCCTGGACGATGGCTCTTCTATTTAATGGATCTGCTGCTAGATCCCGTAGCTGGTTAACTACCGATAGAGCATCAGGTTCTTCATTCATGGTGGAGGAGGAAGAATTCATCTTCTATGCCATGCACATGAATAAAATCTTCTTAAATCCTATAGAAAAAATTTGCAAAATTAGTTCTAGGCTGCTGAGGTATAGTATGGCATTTGTTAAATAACCAGGATTACAACATTTTTGGAAAGAAACAAATGAATCTAAATCACCCAAAGACTTAACAAACTGGCAATTCCAGTTTGAGAAAAATAAAATGAACATAAGAAGCTAACTAAAGAAATCAAGTTATTTATGTGTGCACAATGTTTAAAGAACATATGTCATCCCCAATATTCCAATAAGTTCTTTTTTAGCAATACATATTTTAACACTAAAGTCACAATAAACAAGATCCTTCCAGTTCAAGCTTATAACTTCCACTATACTTCTCAAACTTTAACATTGCCAGCACTTTTTTTTTTAATCTAGAACATTTCTGGGCCTAAAACAAATGCCTTAGGGAAAAGTAACTAGCTGACAGCTTTTTCTCTTATTCATGTATGAACAAAAACCCATCCTATTGGGTCTACAAAACATAAAATCCCCTAGGAAAAAGGAGGGAGTCAAAGAAGGCTGTAAACCAAGAATCAAAGAACATTGTCTTTTCCTGTGCCTTAAGCCAGCAGAGCTGGGGAGATCACTGTGGATCTGAACTGAATCTAAACACATCTGTCCATCTTTCAGTGTGCCATATTCTACTGCTTTTCATAAAATAGAATGTGAGGTAATTCACTTGACAGATAAGGAAAGAGTCACAGAGAATTTCAATAATTTGTCCCAGGTCACAAAAGCTAGTTAGTATAGAACTGGGCTGAAATCTTATTTACTATTTCCTAAATTGGTCAGCAGTTTTTCCATTCTCCATACAGTCCTTTTAAATTCAGCATGTATTTTTTTTTTCCACAAAAATAAAGATGGTATTTTAGGAAATGTAAAATGCTAGATATACAAAACCCAAGAAACAAAATATCAAGGAATAATTTTTCATAGATGCAAAAAGTTAAAAATAGTAACTTTAACCAAATTAAATTAACACAGTATATCCCTTATTAGGAAGAATATAAAATTGTAAATGCTTTCCACAAATCAATGAGTTTAATGGTAATTTCAATAACAATGCCAACTGTGAGGGCAACAGGGACAAAACTTCTGTAAGTCCAGAAAGACTATAAAGTTATTTTGAAGGAAAAATGTAATAAAGCAGAACTGGCCTTACCATGTATTGAAATACACAAAGCTGTAATAGTAAAGCAGTTGGGGGGAAGGGGAAAGATAAAGATACTTGCCCCAAGAAA